CGCCAAATTTTACAGATACATAGCTAAGGTACTAGCCTTCAAATGGTATAGTAGCCCGCTGCCCTATCCCCTTTGCTTTTCTGCCATTCCTCTATATGTCACGGCACTTTTGAATGGGATGACCTAATATATATCCCCGCTGAACAGAAAACTTTTAGGTAACATTAGGAAAATTTCCGGAGAATTCCAGAAGAAGTGGTAGGAAATTGGGCAAATCCAGGAAAGAGGTGAGTAGGGTGGTGAGGAGGGGGGTAGTATTCGGAGGGGAGTCGTATCAAGCCACTCCCTGGAGAGCGGTGGTCGCACCAACCTCTAAAAAAAAAGGGGGGGAGCGGGTTGTACGGACTCGACCAAAATCTTACCAATGATGTGCCCTGTTTGGTTCACAAAAAGCATTAACGCGGCGGGAAATTCCACATACATTAAAGTTTTTTCATTGTCAGTGGTCGTACCTTCGGCTTTTCCGAAACATAATTTGAGAGGAAGCGCAGAAGAAACTAGTTAACTTGAACATTAATGAGTCCTGTAAGCCAAAGGATTTGCTGGCAGTCACACTCTGAAAAAAGTTGCTAATAACCCAGGGGAGAGGGGGGGGCACCTGTGAGCGCAGTCAGCATACCAAACCTTAGGACTGTATACATGTGAATACTGGACGACCTTGCCAACACCCTGTAAGCCTTGTCATCACGTTTCAAGCACCCTGTAAGTTCCTCTCAGAGTGAAGGCTCCGGATTCATGGCATTACATAGCTGCAGGGTTGACAACAGTTTACAGGGTCCGTGGTAGCAGTCCGCAGAATTTGCAGGGTTAGACGCGATTGTCTAGTATTCACTTGGATATGGCTAACACGACTCACCAGAACTTGTGTGCGAAGCGCTTACAGGCGTGCCACCCCTCCCAAAGTTATGAGCGGCGGAAAAAAAATAATAGTCTTCGTCTACATTGTATTACTTCTGCATGTAGTTCCGGGAGGCCACCTTAATGGAGATAATGCTCACCACAGTGAAACATAAAAAGTGAGTCTGAACCGTAAAAAAGCATTTTAAGTTCTTTCACAAGCCCCTGTTGCCTGCAGCGCATGGGCTGTCTGTCTCCCCCTCCTCCCAGCAGAAACACTACCACTACTATACTCAGCTCAGGCCTTACAACCGCGCTTGCTCCCTTGCACCACCCAGGTAGCCAAAAGATCCGAAAAATGCCAAGGGTCCGATCCCGGAGCAGAGGCCCTAAGATGGTAGGTAGAAGATAGAGCATAGAGAAACTTACGTAGTTTTTTGCGTCAATTATACTCCTGTAAGTTTGTTCGTGGCAATTTTTAACCTGAAAAATGACACTTACTGAAATATTCACGCTAATTTGATCCTGCAAAATTCCACGAAGTTCCACGTTTTACCTTTGCTTTATGAATTTCTTCCATCTTGACAATACCGTTGTTCACATGGAATTTGCCGTTCTCATCCATTCTGTACCAACCGAGTCGGTCAAAACTGAAAGATAACTGTAAGCTGCTCAGGATTTCGAACAAAGAAAATCAATGGAAAAAGCGATGTCGGTTGAGAGATCCACGTTGCGGCGTCGCAGCGAGGGCGTCGTCAAAAGCAGTGTCCCCTGCGCGGCCTTTGCGTTAGGACCTAACTAACTAAACGCGGAAGCTCTAATGTTCTACAGTATGCCCTGTTTAGGCGGAGGAGTGGGGGAGTGGGAATACTACACATGAAACAAGAAAAAATTCACGAAAAGTCAACAACCGTGGAAAATTCTCTCATCAACAACCGTGGGAAATTCTCTCAAAGCCACCTACGACCCCCTCTCCCAACAACGACCAAATACGACCCCCCTGTCCAGCGAAAATGTACGACCCCCTTATGTGTTTCACACGACGATGCTGCCCCACTTCGGTTTACTGGGAGCTTGAAATGCTACTTACAAATACCAAAGCTTAGAGGCTATCTTGTGACGACCTATAGATTCCTGTGACCAAATGGCCTCGTTTACACTATTTGGCAACTTCACAAGAGTTTAGCTCTTGCTTAACAGAACTAGCAAAGCGAACTAGCAAATGTACAGCACGCCCGCCCCCTCAAACCGAGTGGAGTCCAGCTGACTATCCTGTGCAATCGTGGATCTCCCAACCAGAGCACGTCGTACGGTAGAGATCCCTAGCGATGGGGAGGGCGTGAGGGAGGGGAGGTGGTTTCTGATCGCTATCTTTCTCTCGGTTTTTTTTCCCATTTATGGGGGTGAACTATCCCCACTTCGCCTGTGACCGGTTCTTTTTTCCTTGGAAAATATCCCCGAATTTTTATGGAAATGTGGCAGGGCGAACCTGTGCGCAGGATTTCGAGGGGATGGAAACTGGCAAGCTAGAGTAGCGTGCACAGTATTACGGTGACAGAGGCCAATTTTCTAGGTCTAGGAGGGGTAGTACTTTACAGAGTGTGTTTCTCTAATATCAGGATGAGCTTTGCTCCCGAACGACATCCATGAAAGAGCATCCCCAAAGAATGAAGAAGCTAAGATGAAATAAGTGAATTCCCAAAATGTATTAAGTAGGAAGTTGAAGGCTCAAGGCGTACTCACTTGTTGTCGGTGATTTCGTTCAGCGGTTGCTTTCTCAACTCATCCATTTCGCCACCAGGATTTGAAATAGCAAAGTACATTCCCGTCTCGAGCTGATGGGAAGCACGACCCCCGGCTGATACAGATAATGCGATTCGTTTCAGAGAATCCAGATACCTAGAATGACCATATACTCAGAAACAACTAATTAACTGTCTAACGGCGCAGTTCGGCGACGGGGAGGGGGCATTTTGCACTTTCATTGCTCCACTAGTTCCGGTTTGCATACTTTTCCTGTGAACTCCTGTGAAGCTGGAGCAAGCTCATCGAGCCACAATGGTGAAACCTGTCAACTCAAGAAAAGGCTGTCTAGATGGGTCGACACGTCGATGGGAAGTAGCAAAAGTGCAAAATGCCCCTTCCCCTCGCCGAACTGCGCCCTATCTAACTTCTAGTAACAAACATTTATCAGATATTTTCGATATTTTCATGGTCACATCCACCCCCTATATTATATATCCATTATTTACGATATGATGAACGGAATGATTCATAGAAGACACCTCTTAACTACCATTCATTTTTTT